TATTAAATATTACGTTTTTCTCTTATTTTGCATTTAAGTTTTCTTTTGTCCGATTTGGCGTTGAAGCTCAAAATCGGACTTGTTCGTTTTTTAAAATAAAAAAAATTTTGCCATTTGAAATTAAATTTTTTTTTTTTTTTTAGGGGGCTAATCTATATATATAAAAGAGAGTTGTGTAAAAGTGTCTTAGCACTTATAACTCGAGATCTGCTGGACCAATTTTCATGGTTTTTGATTTGTTGGATTTGTCTCCGCCACGAGTAGGTCAGTAGATCTTTAAAATACTGAAAAAATTTGACGAATACTTGAAAAACGCGGTTTTTTCCCTAAAGATTCAAATTTCCATTTATACTCAGTAGCCTTGACAACAGTGACAGTTTCGGTCCTGTATAGAAGTAAATAAACAAATGTAGTCAGTCAGTCTACGGCACAGCCTCGAGCAGACCTGACTATTCAACAAAAAAAAAAAAAAGACTATTCAACAAAATAAAAAAAAAAAAAAAAAAAAAAAAGACTATTCAAAACAAAAAAAAATAAACAAAAAAAAATTTTTTTTTTCCAAATCAAAAAGAAAAATATTTCAAATCAAAAATCTGCAAAAATTCAAAAAAAATCAAAAGATTAAAACCTGACTGTTCAAAAAATAAATAAAAAATTCAAAATTCGAAATTAAAAAAAAAATAAGTTAATTATTAAAAAGTGTATTTTTGGCTTTTTATATTTTTGGACTTTTAAACTTTATAAATATTTCAAATCAAAAATCTGCAAAAATTAAAAAAAAAATCAAGATTAAAACCTGACTAATCAAAAATAAATAAAATTATCTGACGAAGAGCGAGAAATCGCCCGAGAAAGTCTCCGCGTTAGTACCCAGCAAAGAAGGGCCTTAATTCGTGCTTCTCAAAGAGAGGCAGCCCGTGAAATGGCAATAAGAAATGGTTCAAGGATTGATTTGAACCGAGAAGCGTTTCGATATGATTGCACCATTGACTATAGCTTGAATCGTTTAGTTTGCATTGGTCCAATGGACGTTGTTTGCCAGCATTGTGGCGCATTGAAGTTTGCTGGTGAAACGCCCGGTTTGTGCTGCCTTAGTGGTAAAGTGACATTGCCATTAGTGGTCCCGCCACCAGAGCCATTGCGTTCCCTACTTTTCTAGCGAGCACTCAAAAATACAATGCCTATTTCCAATTCGGGGCAGAGACAAATCCAACAAATGAAAAACCATGAAAATTTTGTAACAAATTCTACTTTGTTTTATATATATAGAGACTGTTAGGCGGTACGAAGTTCGCCGGGACAACTAGTACATAATAGATTTAAGAAAAAATGTGAAAACGGAAAAAAGTTAACTTACTGCTAAAGAAAATACACATTGAAGTCCGATTTGGCGTTGGAGCCACTGTATATGAAAGAGCCTCCGTTTAGTACGTCTCCGCTTATAGCGTCGATTTTTTTCATATTGTTAAGTCATTCTCCAGATATTACGACGTGCCGAAAAAAATGCTAAATAATGACAAAATTTAAGCATTAAAAGACGCTGCTAGAAATGTATATACATATGCTTCTATTTATCAATGATCAGTGTGTACGTAGGAACGACACAAATGCTGCTAAGACACTGAGAGAAAGACACAAGCTGCAATGCCGATGTCACACAAATGTTTCGATACTATGTTATTGAAATAATATATAATATATATATAAATAATTGTTGTTTTGATTACAACCGTAAAAAAAAGTATTTTTGTTTGTTCCTTCTGGTTAAAGCGTCCTCCGGGTATAGCGACGTAAAATCGTCGGTCCCTCAAATGTCGCTATAACCGGATTCCACTGTACTTTGTGAAGTCTGCCCCGCCTCCTTCTGCCATTTACATACATTTCAACAAAACGATTATACCCTGATTTCCCATTTCAATGGGTTAAGGGTATAAAATCGGGTTGAACTTTATTTCAGATAGAAATTCATATGTATATTATATTGCATAAACGCGGACATAATCGACCAATAAAGCCGGCTGCTTCCAAGTGGGTAACCATTGATCCTGGCTTTGCCAAAAATTAAGCTTTGCTTGTGGGTGTTTGTTGATCCAAGGCTTCTCAAAGCTGGAAGTCCGCAATTTATCAACAAAGTCGCCGAAGCCGCCAACTGAGAGGCCAAGAGTGATGTAAAACTATATTAAAAAAATGAAGATATATATATTATTTTTAGAGAAGAATCAGGGACTATAAATTGCGAATGATTTCATATAATCTTTAATATTTTTTGCTGAAACATTCTTCCATTTTGCATAGGTCAAAATGCAAAATTTCGGTGATAGCCTTATCTCTACTGAGTTTTTTGCAGAATGCTTGATTATTTTTATATGTTCCCATAGCTCCTATATATGTACATATGTAGATCAAGTTTTTGTATGCATTACTTTTGCAATTCATAATTGATAAGATCCTCCGATTTTTCGCTTTAGTTAATTACATTCATATATGGTACTTGCCATTCGATCAAAGGGTGCCATGGGGCCCCCCCGACGCCAGCTTGGATTTAGGTTAGATTCTGCAAAGCCAGTTAAAATTTTACCGTACTCTTGGCCATCAATCAAAAATCGCAAGCCTTGACTGCTCCATACAAGACTGTAAAGGTGAAAGTTGTCGCCAAAATGTACGCTACGTCGCTGTTGGACCATAAAATCTTCGCGTTGTGAAGCTTCAGTCGAGAGTACAGCTCCGGCGAAAACGGTGCGACCATCGATGAGTTTACCATGGGGGAGGCGTAAGTGTTGATTTCCACGTATCATTGCCACACGCAGCTGACCTATCATAAAGTAGTTAAGACTGAACATTAATCATATTCAAACAGTATATAAATATTATCAGGTCACCAGATTCATAGCCAGTTTGACCATATGCTTCCATGAGCGGCTGTAGCAGCAATAATGGCACCAACCAATCGCCCTTCGGGAACTTTGCCCGTATTTCGATGCGACCGTATTTAAAAGCAAAAGATTCCTTAGTGCTCAGCCGGGGAGCCACCACTGGGGGCATAATGAGTGGTCCACTAGTTAGCAGCACGCATTCCTTTTGCTTATTGTGTGTGCCGGTGCACCTATCTGATAAATCTAACTGAGCGCTGGTGATGTGCAAGTCCGGTCGATAACTGGACCACAGTTTGGGCTCGATTATAAGCTGGCCGTTAAGAACACGTGCCTTTCCATCATACAGCACAAATTCAGCATCGGTACTGTCAAGTGGAACCCGCACATCATGAAGCCAACGGCTCTCGTTTAATTGGTCGAATTCCTCCTCGAATATCAATTGACCTTTACAAAGTGGGTGGTTTGGGGAAGGTGACATTACCGTTTCGCTTTGCAAGTGTAACGTACAAGACGGCGATTCTCTGTTAACTGCAATGTCCATTCCTGTAGTATCTTTTTGCAGATTAGGTTTCTTCAAACAGTCTGCAGGCAAATGAGCGCCATGCAGTTGACAAACCTGAAACGTCTGACTCTGATCACGAAATATGGCGTTTCCATGTTGTACGCTAGTCCATATATAAAGCGTATCATGTGCCCTTAAAGGAACTCGCTCAAAATCATATTGCCAACGTGCATCTTGTGGCTCTCTAACTTGGCCGGTAAACTGGCCTTCCTCAAACCCCGTAAAATTTCGATTACGATTCACATTGAATGCCACACTTTTTATGTCATGATCATCTTTAAAAATAATTTTGTTGATAAACTTTAGGTTTGTGGGAGCAATCTACTCACCTGGTATAGACACACGAAAGCCGATTTCCAAGGGATCCACTTTAACAGCAGGCACCTTATAAGGGCATATGCCAACAATCGAACTATAAAGCACAACCAGCAGCAAGTAATCTTTTATATGTAATTTTATATATGATAGCATTATTTCCAGCCCGTTCTCTCTTACGCTGCATTAATAACTAAATTAAACGTTCGCAGACCGAATTTATCATTAATATACACCGCACACTTTTAGTCAGTGCGGAATGCATATTTTAACAAACAAAATCTGCAAAGCGATCTCTATTTAACTTATTAAGAGTTCCTTTCCACTTCTCTTTTTAGCTGATTTTGCAAACTTTAATTTCTGCCACTAACCAGAGAACACATAGACCGGACAAGTAGTGTAAAGCGTTTTGCACACTTTTTTTCGGGAGTTATCTCCCAGACACTTCGTATTTGCTCGGCTCTTCACTTTTTGGGTTCGGGCTACGAAAATATACGAAAGCACAATCATTTCGCTTCATGCGCTCGACCGAGATGGTCGACTGTTGAACAAAAGATCCCTCTGCGCTGAATGTTTCCCTTGCTCTCTCTCTCTCACGATGCTCTCTGCTCTCTCAAATATGTATATGTATGTATGCATGTGAGCACAAGCAGCGCTCACAAATTTAAATTTCTTCGCAGCGAGAGCCCATGCCTACCCTTATGTGTGAAGAGTATACCGAACTTTTCAAACCGTTTGCCATGCGTTTTCGTTATTATTTGTGGGAAGGGTATGAAAGCGTTGGTGCGCATAATGAAAATGTTTTCGCGACGAGTATGCACACACACACAGTATGCTGCATGTACTATGAACATTTGTATGCCTGTGTGCGAAGCTCTTTCTGCCTATAGCAATTTTAAATCCCAGCATTTGCATTTGGTCGATCTTGTGAAGTGCTCACATACATATGTATGTATGTATGTATGTATGTATATACATTTGATTGTGTGTACGCATGGGAGGCGCTGCTCACAATTTTGGGATATAACTTGTAGAAGCACTTGTATGCCTGTGTGCTAGTGCTGGGAAAAGATCGATCTTTACGTAGATCGATGTTTCGATATTATGTATGGGTCTCAGATCGATGTATCGATATTTTCATAAACATATTTTAACTCCCAAAATTAAAAAAAAAGTTTTCATATAAAAAACAAAAGATGAATTTCTTATTAAAATTAAAAAACGTTTCATATAAACTAAACTAAACTATGTAACAAAGATTATATTATTTAATAAGATCATTTACTTCGTCCAATCATTTTTGTTTATAAAGAGCAGCATATCTACTTGCTGCGGCTTGAGACAACTCCAAAATCCTAAATGAAAAGTGGGTTACGTTAGTATTTGAATTATATTGTTAAAATAATTTGCAAATTACCTGACAGTCTTATCCCACGCTTTTAATTCAAGTGATGGGGAATTAATGGTATAGTGATGGCGATATATCAAGTATCGAAGTTTTCTACATCGATATTTTCGATGGATATGAAACATCGATATATCGTTTGCTAGATCGATCTTTTTCCCAGCACTACTGTGTGCCTTTACATGTGCGTGTGTGTATGTGTTTGTATGTATGCATGGGAGATAAACATTGGCGTGTGCCTCCCTCAACTTAGAAAAAAACAAGTTATTAAACAATTAAGTTCTCATAGTAAGCGCACACTGCGCCCATGCGTGTTTATGCTTGTGTGTGTATGTGTTTGTGTATGTGTGTATAAATGTTTGTGTATGTGTGTGTGTGTGTATGTATGCCTGTGTGTGCGTGCGTGCGTGTGTGTGTGTGTGTGCGTGTTGTGTAAGCTGAAAGACGCGAAAAATTATTGAAATAGCTATTATTCCAAGGGTTCAGGGGATCTCGTAGTCGAGCAGTCTCGACTAGAGCACAATTCTTTAGTATTTGAAATACGCTTTTTACAAAAGTGAGGGTGAGGGGGTGAATTTAAGGGTGGGGGTAAATTTTAACAAAACCCGAAATTGTATAAATTGCATATAAGCATACATTAAAAATTTGGAGACTCTAGCAATAAAGGTGTAGAAGATATAATTTTATAACTGGTTTTCGATAAGGTTTTTTTATCGATAAAAAAAGATTGGGATGAGTTATCGATTTTTAATGATAAACTTGATATGCGCGCTGTAATTACGGACATTTAAAAAAAAAATTTGAAGTCTCTAGCTCTTATATCTTCTGAAATCGACGCGTTCATACATACGGACAGACGGACAGACAGACGGACAGGGCCGAATCAACTCAGCTCGTCGCCCTGATCAAGAATATATATACCTTATGGGGTCTGCCACGCCTCCTTGTGCCTGTTACATACATTTCAACAAAACCATTATACCCTGATTTCCCATTGAAAATGGGTTCAGGGTATAACAAGTAAGAAGGCTCTAGTCGAGACTGCTCGACTAGGAGATACCCTGAACCCTCTAAGCTGATATTCTAATAATTCTGAATTTTTATGCACACATACACATGCATCCACACGCACGCATAAGCCTGCGCTCTGCTAACTGCGCAGTAAGCAGCGACTGCGCTTGGGCTGCGCTGCTTTGTGGGCAATATTATGAGAATTTATTTGTTGAATAATATCTTTTGTAGACATAAGATCTTAATGAAACTTTTAGAGTGTAATTATATGATGATATTATATGATGATATGTCTGTACATTCCAAAGCACAAGTCTCTAGTACTAGAAATGCGTTTTTTACAAATTGGGGGAAAAGGGGGCGTGGTATCCAAAATCTGTAAATTACAAAATCTTTGTATCGATTAATTTTATATACAACGCAAATTTGAAGACTCCAGGTCTAAAAATGTTCAAATTAGGCTGAAAAAACAATGCCGATTTTTCGATTATTCTCGATAAAAAAGTTATCGGATGAATTATCGAAAAAATAAAGCAAACTCGTACTGCGTATGGTACACACGAGTATGCATGCCAAATTTCAGCTCTCTAGCTCTTATAACTTCTGAGATCGACGCACTCATACGGACGGACAGACGGACGGACGGACAGGGCTATATCAACTCAGCTCGTCGCGCTGATCAAGAATATATATACTTTATGGGGTCTGCCACGCCTCCTTCTGCCCGTTACATACATTTTCACAAAACCATTATACCCTGATTTCCCATTTTCAATGGGTTCAGGGTATAAAAAGGCGTACTGCAGAATCTGCAAATGTATTTTTCTCAAATTTTTGCCTTTTTCAAAAAAAAATTGACATCACTAGTGGTGACAATAAAAGACATTGTTTAAATCTATCTAATGAATATATTAGCGGTTGAAGCGTTTTATAGCTACCACAGTGTGCGTGTGTTTAAAAAAAGACGCGAAAAATGATTGAAATAGCTATTGCTCGAAGGGTTCAGGGGAATTCGTAGTCGAGCTGTCTCGACTAGAGCTTTCTTACTTGCTTATATCATACATACATACATATGTTAAGTAAACGAAGCAAACATGGAATTGTATACATATGTATGTTCTTTAATTAAAATTTAAATAATAATGAAAATCATTAGGAACATATTTTGGACCCATGCGGCGTATCTTTTTAGGCTTTTCTTAAGTCTCTAAGCTAGGAATAATGGCAGGTAGCCAGCGATCATGGTAGGACCATGCCCCCCGGTCGACCGCCTTAATATCTAAGGCTCACTTTCACTGTCCTTTATTTGTCTGTGCTGCGAGACCCAGCTTGGGCATGTGGCTTGTGCGCCTATTTCTTTTCTATCTCCCTCTTCTATCCGAGTGGCCGTTGACTGCCGAAGTGAAGTATGCGATTTTATTGGCAGCGCTAGGAGTTGCAGCTTCCCACTTTTTAGTCTTTTCCCGATTACCTAATAGCCGAATCTAGCGCGTGCATTGTACAATCACTCCGAATCATCTGCACAACCAATCATATTACAGTTTTTGTAGTCTGATTAAGAAATTTGTGCGCTGAATTTTGTAAGTTGAAAGTGGAACATTAGTGTATAAGGGTTTGTGTATGTAACACGCAGAAAGAGGCGTGGCCAGCACCATATACATACATATATGTGCATATATTCCTCATCAGGTCTGGCTTACTAAGTCACTGTGTAAACTGTAGGTATGGTGTCAAAAAAAAATATATATAATCTTTAATAAATAATACCAATTATTAAAGAACCTCGATTACGTAAATTCAGCTATATCTATAAACCTATGTAGATCGCTATTAACTGACAACTGTTCGCATATTTTATCGAAACACAATCGTCCAGCAAAGCTTATTACTCTGCTAGTAGCGTGAGAGCTTTGACACGATCAAGTTTCCATTGAATGCAACACTAACAGGTTTGCAAGAGCTTTAACGCACAAATCGAGAATTAGTAGTACTAGCATTATTCATTTTTCAAGTACAAATGCGTCATGGCTCCTCAGTTTTTATTGAATTTCCAATTGGTCCTTCTGTTACTATTGATGGGCCAACAAAATATGGGATATAAAATGCCACACGTGAACATAGAAATATTCAATGAACGGGGCCTCAAGATCTCAATACCTGGTAAGTCAATGTGCTAGACACCAGTACCAATATTAATGATAATAAATAATCCAAAGATGAGGCACGCATGCAGCGTGTTTTTGTAATGCTGCAAGTGGATGACAGCTGTCCGGTGTTTATGGACTGCTTAACTCAAGCCACTAATGGCAGTTGGACCAGTGTACAACGCATTAGACTGCAAAACGATGATAAGTTACGAGTCTCGCTGTTCGTGCAGTACAATAATAATATTTACGAGAAGAGCGAGACACATGTGATACTCAACACACGCTTTCTGACCACACAACAAAGTAATACTGTCAATATCTGGCGATCCAAAGCTCCAGAGACCCTCGACAACAGCAACGAGAACAAATGCCAGCTATACCGAACATTAGACCGAAGACTGTTCAAAGATTGCAAGCCAACCAACAGCATTACGAGTAGAAATAGTGGTAGTCAAGTCACATGTCAGGGCGAGCTTATTTTTGAAGATGACTTTAGTGAAGGACAGCTGAATAGCAGCGTTTGGATGCATGACATCCGTCAGCGTATGTATTATGTGGAAGAAGAGTTAGTAGCATTCGATGATTCGCCGCGAATTTCCTACGTGCGTGAAGGACACCTACACATTGTGCCGATGGTGGCCAGCGAGGTGACAGAGGGAGTTTACAAGCTAGGTGATCGCTGTACGGCTGTTGATAACCGTCAGTTGGAGTGCAGTATTTCCAAAGGTAGTTTCTTTAAGATCAACCCACCTGTATATTCAGCTCAATTGCATACACGGGAGAGCTTCAGCTTTAAATATGGAAAAGTCGTGGTGCGTGCTAAGCTTCCAAAGGGTGATTGGCTTTTTCCATGTAAATAGTTTGCATTATGCTAAACACCTCGTTATATATTATAAACAATTTATCAATTTTACAGATATGATGTTACAGCCAGTCTCAACTTATGCAGAAACTCATTTTGCCAACCAGCTTCGTAAGTAAAAAATCGTTGTTTTATTAATTACACATTACTAAGCATTAGCTTTGTTGCATGCGTATTTTGCTGAAAATAAGCTTGAATTTAATTTGAACAAGGAAGAAAGCTCTAGTCGAGACTGCCCAACTACGAAATCCCCTGAACCCTTTTAAGAATTGATATTTCAATAATTATTTGCGCCTTTCTACTTAAACAAGAAACACACTTTTCTTGTCGATGGACTATCTCCATGAAACTTGTAGATCAAGATCATAACATTAAAATGTGTGTATGTGTCAAAGCATAAATTTCTAGTATTTGAAATACGCCTGTAACAAACAAGTGGGTGAGGGGGTGGATTATGGGTGGGGGTTAAATTTGGACAAAATTGAAATTATACATATATGTAAGTCTATATTCAAAGTTTGGAGACTATAGCTCTAAAGGTGTATGAGATATAATTAATTAACTAGTTATATCGGGAGTAGTTATCGATTTTGGGAGCAAAACTCGATATGCGCGGGATATACACGGACCTAGGAAAACAAATTTCAAGTCTCTACCTCTTATATCTTCTGAGATCGACACGTTCATTCATACGGACGGACGGACAGAAAAACGGACAGGGCTAAATCGACTCAGCTCGTCGTCCTGATCAAGAATATATATACTTTGTGGGGTCTATCACGTCTCCTTCTGCCTGTTACATACTTTTAACAAAACCATTATACCCTGATTTCCCATTTTCAATGGGTTCAGGGTATAAAAACAATTCAATTTGATCATTGGGTGGTTCGACTAGGTGATACCTGAACCTTGTCATTTTCAGACTACATATTATCTAGACAATTGTCGACTACGAGTTTTCATCTTTACAAAAGAGAACGCAAAAACAAATAAGAATGTCGTTACCGACTGCTGAATACTCATACGCAGCCTATTTTTTGATTTTCCAGGCTCCAGGTTCCAGGATTTAGGCTCTAAATTTTAAGCCAAATAATGTAAAAAATGTAGTTTTCCGCTCACTGGAGAAAATTGTAAAAAAAAAAAAAAAAAAAAAGCTGCAGTCGAGACTACTCGACTACGAAATCCCCTGAACCGCACACGCGCACACGCACACACACGAGACACACGCACACGCATTCACACAAATGCATACAGACACACACGCATACACGCCTAAACACGCATGGGCTGCAGTGCATAGTGGGCGAAACGGCTGATTTGGCGGCGATTAATTAATAGCTTCTGCAAAAATGGTGCTATTATTGTACGGATACTTTTGTTTTGTAGATAAATTAATTACACATCAGAATTAAATTGCAAATCAATACTTTGCTGCAGCAATGATATAGCCAAATGAATAGTATGTGAGGTGGAATCATTTTATTAATAATAATACTATTAATACTATTTAAATTGAATTAATTAGTCGCACTATCTAAATACAAAAGTCTTATAATAAAATAAATTTTTTTTAGGGATCGCTTATGCTCGAGGAAATGAATTTTTGCGCAGTTCTCAGCAAGATGATATATCGGGTCACCGCTTATATGGAGGCATCGTAATTTGGCAAAAAGGAGATGCCGTAGAAATATTAAAAAATCGACTTCATACAAAGCACTATGGTGATGATTTTCATAATTATACAATGATCTGGCAAAGAGACAAGCTAACACTTTTGGTCGACGATGAGATTTACGGAGAGATTTACGATGGCTTGCCATTTTTTAATGAGAAATGTTTCATAATTTTCGGCGTTACAGTTGGTGGATTTCTCAATTTCAATGACAGCATACTATTGACCGATGTAAAGCCGTACAAAAATAAACAACCGCGGGCTGCTCTTTCGTTTTGGGAAAATCGCGGTACTTGGGTATCTACATGGACAAATAGCAGTGCGATGATTGTAGATTATGTGCGTGTTTATGCAGATTAGACGACTTTAGCTACAAATAACCGGCTTTTGCCACTGAGTCTGACTACACAAACAAATGGGCAATATTATTTATTAGATGAATGATTTCTCTTATAGTAGGACTATCATTATGAAACTTTCAGAACCTGATAATTATGATCAAATGTAGATTCCAATTCATAAGTCTGTAGTACTTGTACTATTAGTACTTTCTTACAAATTGGGGGCGATGGCACGTGGTATCCAAAATCTATAAATTACACAATCTTCGTATTCATCAAATACATATACACAGTAATTCTGAAGTCTCCAGGTCTAAGGTTTTGAACGTAGGCAGAAAAAAATTTTAACAAAAATCGAAATTTTATAAAGTATGCATAAATAAATATACATTTAAAATCTGGCGACTCTAGCTCTAAAGATGTAGCAGATGTAAATTTATTATTGTTTTTCGCCTTCAGCAGGAGGCGTGGCAGACCCCATAAAGTAAATATATTCTTAATCAGGGCGACAAGCTGCGTCGAGTAAGTCAACTATCAAAATTCGAAGCTTCTAGCTTGCAAACCAAAGAAGCGAAGAATTTTTAAAATATTAGTTCCTTGAAGACTACATGGTATCTCGTTTTCGAGGCGAAATTTGTGAAATAAATGAGAGAAAGTATATCACATATCACTGCAAGTGTGTGTGTCTTCCCCGTCGCGAAATTATATTCTTTATGCGCATCAATACTTTCATACCCTTCCCACGAACTACCATCGAAACGCTTACATTTTGTTTGCATGAGAATGACAAACGCTTTTATGATTTAGGTATACCCTTCACTCAAAAGGAGAGAACTGAGATCGTCGCGAACAAATTTAAATTCTTGTGCGCTGCTGAGTTCGGTGATTTGCGAAACCATAGAGAGAGTAGGACAAATAGCGCATAGCTGCGCTTCATATAAGAATGGGACCATTTCGATTGAGCGCTTACAGCGCACTGAATTTGTCGTGCAATATTTTCAATGCTCGAACCTCTAGCGACCGACTCGAACAAATACGAAGTATAGTGGTCCACTAACTTAACATTTTTTGCTGTAGAAAAGTTTGTTCTACATGTTGAGTCTATGTGCTCTCTGGTTAGTGGTCATATGAAGGCGAACGGAACAAGGCATAAGTGTCGAGTTCCGATATTTGTATTCCGCGGAAAATTGTATATTTAAAACAAAGTCAATGCGAATATCCTGGCAGCTCTTAAGTAGCTCTTTACTATTTGTTTTAGGTATTTATTATTTATTTATGGATATTATACAGAGACAAATCCTCAAGTATCATACCCCAGCGAGCTGTGTTGACATCCAGAGTTGCTTTGATGAAGTACTGCTGCGTGTCATCTGGATATTTTAATGACGGAAGTTGAAAGACCAACACATCAGTTTTTGACCAGGTCTTCCGGAAACACCGTTTTCTTGGAAAGAGGAAAGGGTTAGCTAGAACAGTGTGCGTGTCCTGAGCATAAGGGAATAAACGAAAAATTGAATTAAAAGAATAATGAATTAAATTTTCTTTAATAAAATTTTAATAATAAAACCATAGCTCGCAAATGAGAGTTGATCGTTTTTTCTTATATGCTCTGCTTTGTAACATAACCGAAAATATTATGCACACACGATCTCGCTGTGAGCGGCTCTCTTTGTTTTGTTTTGAATCGGTTTTTGTCAAGCGCTTCGCATTGACTCATTCGTATGACGCTCTTAATGAGTGCCGCGTAAAGAGTAATACGATTTTCGCTAACACAAAGACTCTTAGCAAAAAATAGTTTGACTAAAAAACTCAAGAAAGGATCTTTGTCTTCGTGTGCATGTAAGTACATACATACATACAAAAAGAACGCAACAATCGCGGTTGATTACCCATACATACGCAAAAAACAATTTGTCTCCTTTAACTCAAGAAAACGATCAGTGTTTGACTTGAGCGAAAGGAAATCCGAAATTCTGTCTCGCTCAGAACGCGAGCGAGCTAAACCAGACGCGACAAAACAGTTTGTCTGAGTCTTTTTTATTCTGCGAGTGAAAGACACTTATTTGCAGACAATGAAAGAATGTCAACAGTTATTTGTGAGCTATGACTTAGACCTTAAATAATTACATACCCACTTTTAAATTTTCGTTGAGAAAATCCGAAATATCGAAATATGGGTGGTATATGATGACTTTTTGCCTTGACTGTCTGTATGTATATAGTACATACCAACATGCATACATAATTATACCACTAACCCTAGAACACTTAGACTGAACACGTAGTGTAAAGCTTTTTTTGGAGCATTGCGACCCCAGACAACTTCGTATTCATCGGCTCCCTTATTGTGAAATAAGAATTTTTCGAAGGGTTCAGGGGATTTCGTAATCGAGCAGTCTCGACTAGAGCTTTCTTACTTGTTAATTATGTTGTAGTACGGTGTATTTTAATTCGTTAACGCTCATGCTGTCGCAAAATTTTGTTTGAGAGAATACCCAGGTGAATTCATGTGTGATTTGTCAGAAAGAGGCAAAGTACTATCTTTTGCTTTGTGGCTTTTGTTGGAGTTTGCTCAAAATCAATGTTTTCTTTCTGTGCAGATCCACTTCGTGCACCTTTGTGTTTTTTTTCGATAGATTGTACGATACAAAATCACGAATCGATACTGGTATTCATGATTTTTAGTGTTGACAAATAGAGTTAAATTTATTTTTTGAAAGGCAGAATTCCCGCAGCCCGCCGTTTTCAAATTTTCCTGCATTGAGACACAATTAATCGCGGAAAAATGGAAAAATCGATTAATCAAATGATTTTTTTGAATGCGCTTAATTTATTTTTTATGAACTCCTTTTAGAAGCAACAATAGCAACAAGAACAGTAAAGAATATAAATGTTTATTTATTTAAAATTGAGTTATGAAATAGTAGTTGTGAAAGGTGCTCTGTTGTTAACCTGTTCCTTTTTTCAGTTAATGTGGCACCCGCCTTGGAAAAAAGACGTTCCGCTGGTATCGAAGTGCCTATTAAGAAACAATACCGACAAGCTATAACATTCCATGATCATTTTCCTGTTGTCCCCCTCAAGTTCAGAATGTTTATTCCCGATTTTTGGGAGCTTGATATTGTTAAATTTAAGTATTTTCATTATTATAGACAACTGAAAACTCACCTTTAGGGACGCGAACTCTTTCGTATGTTTGAGTTTTAAGTGCTGAAGCATATTGGTTGTATTTTTACAATACTTCAATTGTTTTTGGCACGATTGGCAATTTACATCCGTGTCATTAAATTTGGAAAAAAAATCTCCACACTTTACTAATTGTTAGTGCCCAACTTTAGCGCGCCAATGTTGCTTATAGCGATGCGATTTTTTGAGCAAATCATCGATTGTCTCGATTATTCAGAACCAATTTTGAGATACAATTAAATCGTGAATTGAAACAAAATAATCGATTATTGTGTATCAAATCATTTGATTCAAATGATTAATCGTGCCATCACTAGCCCTACTACGCATAGCTCTGTACAATTGTATATTTTTTTTTGTAAGAACGAAGAATTCAATAGAATATAGTATATAGACATATTGAAAAATAGGTTTATTAAATAAGTACAAAATACCGTATATAAATGTATATTATGTAAATTTGTTGGAGGCATTTTTTTTATTTTTGCTGTTGCGTTTATGACAGACTAACGCAATTTGCTAAAACCGATGAGAAAATAAACGTTTCTCTTGATTCCATGTCATTCAACAAAGTTATATTTTATATTCTATAGGAAAATACCTTCGGTTCCCAAGGAATATGGATATATTGGATATCGATGAAGCATTAAAAGATGATTCATACATGTATGTAGCAACATTTGTATTTGCATCTGGGGTTAGTTCAAATGATAAAAATACATTCGTTTGTTTTTCTTTAAAATTTTAGTTTTCTGGCCGATAAAACACACGATGATATATCAAATATTCTTCACCAATGGAAAACTAACAATCAACAACACTTGCAACAACATTTACAGCCGAGTAATGAAGAAGGTACGTACGTCTATCATAAATACATATATACATAAATATATATGTATGTACATACACACACATGTACATATTTGTGTATATTAGAATGCATATTAAACATAGATCACGTTAACATAAAAAACGATATTTGAATTATAGAATTCGTAGAAATGGTGCGAGTACGTTATTAATGGCTGTAGGCGAGCAGCTTTTTAACTAGTAGGTGTAATTGTATTTTTCTTATTTACATAATATTGCTCCCATTTGGAGGCATTAATTAATTAAATCAATTTGCAAATGAGCTCAAATTCACAAATATTCTCAATATTCCAGTAATGATATCGGAAAAGTGTCCACAGTTGAACACCAATGTCTAGGGTGACCATCCGTCCTGGAATTCCGGGACATGTCCTGCCTTTGGAGGTAATGTCCTGGTGTTCCGACCTGACACAAAATTGTCCCGGTTTTCTATTGTTTCGATAAAAAATAGTTATTTTGACAAAATGCAAACTTGATGAAATTTGTGTCGAGACAAGTCAAGAATTTTATTTAGAAAAGCAACGCAGATAAGGTAATACAGTTTTTTTTTTTTACAACAAACGTGCACTTGTGCTGTTAATCTGAAGTATTCAAAATAGCGCAAATTTCAAAAGGTTTTTTTTTCTTACTAAATACACAGTGGTCAGACGAAAGAAATAAGTTACTGGTGGAGAATGTTAAAAACATCCATATAGTTCAATTGAATTTTGTGGACATAAAAACATTAAATATTGATGAAAGAAATGTTATGTACATATGTTGGGAAAAATAGGAAGTGTGGAGAAGTATAAGTGAGGCAATCATGAATATAATAACTATTAAAAATAAGGATGTAAGCCATATATACATATACATATATATGTATATGGATGTTCTTGTGGAATTAGTCCTAAGACAATATAATTATGCTAAATATGAAGGAAGTAAAAGTTGAATGTATGTGTGAATCTGTGTGACAAATGATTTATTTCAAATGGTTTTTTTTTGAAGGGGGAGGGGTGGGGGGTTGGTAGTTGTGGACGGTCCCGGAATGGGCTCCGGCCCAGATGGTCACCCTAAATGTGCGACTTTGGCGAAATATCACGTGCTGATATGCCAGCGCTTCATATGTTGCATATTAACTCTGAGTTCAATGCTCTAGCTCTCAATACAGAAACATTTGTTATGACATGCACATCTCTTAGCCTGATTGACCAATTGGGACAACTCAGAAGTTTCTCCCACAGACACAGACACACTAGCCTAATTTTTATTTTTGTTGATGTATCAATTAAAACTAATTTATGTATTTATATATGTATTTGATATAAAGCATACAAGCATAATTCAAAAACATTCACGAGGCCCAAACGCAAATCACAGGCAGCAGAAAAAATGGAGACACAATTTGTAAGTGAACATTTATTTAAACAATTTAATTTTGTATTGATGTCATAAAAGGTGAGACTAGTTATCTTCACACTGTTTGTTTCTTGATGGCAAAATCGGAAAATCTGGAACTGTTAATATGTATTATGTTATATCATATTAATCCATAGTTTCCATGAAGAGGGGAAAAAATAAGATAGCAATAGTCGGAGGTAGCTGAATAGAAAATACACTGAAACTCGACTGATCTGCGCTTATAATAAATCTTGTATCTATGTATGATCGATTGCGAAATCCCCTGACCCATTCAGGGAACTGATATTTCACACACACATAGGCCCGCACGCATTGACACACATGGGCTGCAATGTGAGCTTACTACGGGAACTTAATTTGTTAATAGCTCGTTATTATAACATTGAAATTAATGTATTTGCCAAAGCACAAGTTTTTAGTATTTGCAATACGTTTTTACCAATTTAGGGGTATAAAATACGACATAAATAAAATACTTTTGCCGTTTGCCACGCCCCCTGTGGGCGGAGATATATCCGCCATAGCTCATTGGACTTGGGTGGTGAGCCCGAGTATATACATATACCAAATTTCAGGTCTCTCGCAGCAATAGTGCTTAAAATATAGCATAATTTGAAAACTCACTATATTTTCAGGTCCAATTTTCCACGCCCCTAGTGGGCGTAGACATTAATCTTTATAGAATCATAACATTAGCTCACGTGCCAAATTTTAATGTTCTAGCTTTACAACTTTAGTTTTATCCATAGCTTGTTGGTCTTGGATGGTCAACACAAATCTACATACCAAATTATAGCTAATATGATTTCTGGCATATCGGAAAATGTGTTTGTAGAAAAATTTTCATGACATAAACTGTACCAGATCCTTTTTATACCCTGAACCAGAGCTCGCAAATGAGAGTTGATCGTTTTTTCGTTTATGCTCTGCTCATAACCGAAAAAATTGTGCAGACCCGACTCGCTCTGAGCGACACTCTTTGTTTTCTTTAGAATCTGTTTCGGTCAGACGCAATGCAATGACTCATTCGTGTGACGCTCTCACATGAGTGTCGCACAAACAGTAATACGGGTTTCGCTCACAAAAGACTATCAGCAAAAAACAGTTTGACTAAAAAACTCAACAGAAATTGTCTTTGCCTTCGTGTGCATGTAAATACATGCATACATACATACAAAAAGAACGCAACAATCGCGCGTGATTACCCATACAAACGCAACTGACAGTTTGCTTCATTTAACTCAAGCAAACGATCAGTGTTTGACTTGAGGAAACGAAAACAGAAATAACTGTCTCCCTCAGAGCGCGAGCGAGCTACGCCAGACGCGACAAAAACAGTTTCTGTCTGAGTTTTTTTGATTGTGTCAGTGAAAGACACTTATTTGCAGACAACGAAAAAGTGTTAACAGTTATTTGCGAGCTATGCCCTGAACCCATTTACAATGGGAAAACAGGGTATAATGGTTTTGTTGAAATGTATGTAACAGGCAGAAGGAGGCGTGGCAGACCCCATAAAGTACATATATTCTTGATCAGGGCGACGAGCTGAGTCGATTTGGCCCTGTCCGTCCGTCTGTCCGTATGTATGATCGCGTCGATTTCAGATTGAAAATGTTCGCATTTACAGCGCGGATATCGAGTTTATCATTAAAAATCGATAACTCATCCCGATCTTTTTTTATCGATAAAAAACCTTATCGAAAACTAGTAATAAAATTATATCTCCAACTCCTTTATTGCAATTTATACAATTTCGGTTTTTGATAAAATTTACCACCACCCCTATATCCACCCCCTCACCCATAAGTTTGTAAAAAGCTTATTTCAAATACTAGAGACTTGTGCTTTGGCAAATACAAGCATATCCATGTTATAATTATAATCTGAAAGTTTCATAAATATCGTATGTCCACAAAAAAAGTTATTAAACAATTGAATTCTCATAGTAAGCGCACACTGCAGCCCATGCGTGCTTATGCGTGGGTGATTGTGTGTGTATGTGTTTGTGTGTGTATGTATGTATGTATGTGTGTATGCGTTTGTGAGTGTATGCGTGTGCGTGTGTGTGTGCGTGTGTGTGTGTGTGTGTGCGTGTGTGTGTGTGTGTGCGTGTTTCTTGTGTCAGCTGAAAGAAGCGAAAAATTATTGAAATAGCTATCACTCCAAAGGTTCAGGGGATCTCGTAGTCGAGCAGTCTCGACTATAGCTTTCTTACTTGTTAAAGCTAGAGTCGGTAAATTTTATATGATAATTCATATGTATTCTATAGAATTTTGATTTTTTTTCTAATTCATCCCCTATCCCCATATGCACCCCTTTTCCACACCTTTTGTAAATAGACGTATTTCAAATACTAGTGTGTTGTGCTTTCGCACATACACGCGCTTTAATGTTATAATCCGTTTCATGAAGAAAGTACATCCACAAGAAAAGTTATCAAACAATTAAGTTCCTATAGTAAGCCGACACTGCAGCCCATGCGTGTTTATGCGTGCATGCCTATATGTGTCTGTGAGTGTGTGTATGCGTGTGTGAATTTCTTGTGTAAGCAGACAGACGCAAAGAATTATTAAAATATCAGTTGATCGAAGGGTTCAGGGTAGTGATGTAAAAAATCATCGATGAATCAAGCGTTGATGTTTTATCACCAATTTTTACCGATGTTTTCCGATGTTTTCGCTAATACCGATGTTGAACGATGGATGCATCGATGTTTTGCAAAACATCATTATCTGCGAATGCAGTTAACCCCATTTGAAAGCAACCTTTTGTCTTTTTGGGAAGATATGAAAAGTACCTATCCTAATTTATTCGAAATTGCAATCAAATTTTTTCCGTTGATGGCATCTTCTGTTCCTTCTAAAATAATATGTAATTCTGTTTAATTTTAGTGAAATGTATAAAACTGCTATGAAAGTATATGATATACATATATCCTTTTAGAGAAATTAAAATTATGTTAAAAATTTTAAAGCAAGGCCAAAATACTGCTATGAAAGCTCATTTTTATACCCTGAACCCATTTTCAATGGGAAATCCATTTTGATTAAATGTATGTAACAGGCAGAAGGAGGCGTGGCGACACCACAAAGTATATAAGTTAACACACGCACACATACTCAACTGTTGGAAGCGCATGCTTTGACTGTTTTGCTTGCTGTAGAAAATTTCACTGGCGCGCGCATAATAATTCTCAAACGGTTCTGACTCTGACGTATTGGAGTGGCTGTTCCAGAGCGGAGAAAATCAGACATACCTGGCGTAGAAGTTAACCGTGATCGCGAAGGCAGTTCCTTCGGAGCGAGGCTTTGTCATTACACTTTCAGCTGAGTTGACCTATGCGATTGTTCCTAACGAATGCTCACACGAGCTAGCAAAAAGATTGTGATAATAAATGAATAAAGTGTCTTTGCATAATAACCCGTCCTACTATAATATATTATAAATTATTTATATATTCTTGAGCAGGGCGGTGAGCTGAGTTGATTTAGCCCTGTCCGTCCGTCCGTATGTATGAACGCGTCGGTCTCAGAAGATATAAGATTGAAATTTGTTTTCCTAGGTCCGTGTAGATCACGCGCATATCGAGTTTTTTCTCTATATATCGATAACTACTCCTTATATTTTATTATCGATTAAAAACCTTATCGAAAGTTAGTTATTTAATTATATCTCCTAACCCTTAGAGCTAGAGCTTGCAAATTTTAAATGTAGACTTACATGTATTTAATATAATTTCGATTTTTGTTGTAATTAACCCCCCACCCCTATATCCATCCCCTCACCCTCACCTTTGTAAAAGGCGTATTTCAAGTACTAGAGACTACATTTTCACCATATTTATTTATTTATTTATTTCTTAAAGCTATTGACAAAAACGAGAGTCAATTTTAATTTAAAAAAGCCTATACAAAGTACAGGATATAATTTCAATAGTAACACCAACCCGATGGGGGTATTTTATTTGCCAGTCCGGCCGGCTATGCCCCGTCTCACAGCCAAATATGGTCAGTGATACTATTGAAGCTATGAAAAGAAAGTGTTAGTAAGAAAACTTTAAAAATAAAATATTAAAATGTAGGTTATTAACTATATCTAACATAAGTTAAATAATTCTTAAAATAATAAAAAAAAAAATAATAATAATAATAATAATAATAAAATAAATAAATAATAAAAGGAGTTAAAAACAAGTAAGAACGTTGCAGTCGGTCGTTACCGACTGCGGAATACTCATTCACATCCCATCAACAATTTAGTAGTTAAGTTTCGCTCTCATACTGTAGAATATACAGGTTTTTCCGATTTGCCACGCCCAAACTGGGCGTAGACACCTCATTTTTGGTCAGTTTTTAGAAAGAGATAACGGTACCCTTACTGCAAAGTTTGAATGCTTAACCTCAAAAAATGTGAAAATTACAGGGTATTTTTCGATATGCCACGCCCCTAAAGAGGCGTAAAAATTATTTTTGGGGAATCGATAGAGGAGGCTACCAGTAACTCAACTATCCAAATTTAAAGCTTCTAGCTATTATACTTTAGGAGATATAAACTTTTGTGGTTTGCCACGCCCCCTGTGGGCGGACATATATCCGACAAAACTTTTTGGTCTTGGGTGATCAGTCCGAGTATATATACAAAATTTGAGGTCTCTGCCATCAGTAGTGTCCAAAATATAGGAGAATTTAAAAAAATCACTATATCTTCAGGTCCGATTTGCCACGCCCCCAATGGGCATAGACTTATAATTTTATCTTTAGACTTTATAGAGTCATACCATTAGCTGACGTGCAAAATTTCAGCATTCTAGGTTTACAACTTTAGGAGATACAGTTTTATCCGATTTGCCACGCCCCCAATGGGCGTAGATATATCCGCCATAGCTCGTGATCTTGGGTGGTCAACGCGGACCTACATACCAAATTTCAGCTTTTTAGCTCTTTAACTAACATGATTTCTGGTATATCGGAAAATGCATTTTCCGATTTGCCACGCCCCTAGAGGGCGGATCGGGAAAATTTTAACACTTTATAAATCGGAGATATACACGAGTATGTGTTCCAAATTTCAAGTCTCTAGCTTCAATAGCGCCGAAATAGATTGCGTTCATACGGACAGACGGACAGACGGACGGACGGACAGCAAGACGGACATTGCACAAAACCAATATACTGATTCACTTTCGTGAATGAGTATAAAAACAATAATGAAAAAAGAAAAAAAATAATAAAATAAGAAGAGATAAAGTATAGAAAAAGAATATGATTACGCTCTAAAAGTTTCATTAAGATTGTACGTCTAGAAATTAAATTATTCAACAAATAAATTATTATATTGTTGCCCACACTGCAGCGCAGCCCAAGCGCAGTCGCTGCTTACTGCGCAGTTAGCAGAGCGCGTTCTAATACGTGCGTGTGTATGTACATATGTGTGCCGAAAAGAAGTGCAGAGTGATTAGAATATCAGATTAGAGGGTTCAGGGTATCTCCTAGTCGAGCAGTCTCGACTAGAGTCTTACTTGTTATACCCTGAACCCATTTTCAATGGGAAATCAGGGTATAATGGTTTTGTTGAAATGTATGTAACAGGCAGAGGGAGGCGTGGCACACCCCACAAAAAATATATTTTTTTGATTAGGGAGACGAACTGAGTCGATTTAGACCTGTCCGTCCATCCTTCCGTCCTTATGAACGCCTAGATCTCAGAAGTTTAAGAGCTAGACACTAGAGAAATTTGGTATGCATACTAGTGGATTCCATACGCAGATACCACGCCCCCTTCGCCAATAATTTGTAAAAAACGTATTTCAAGTACTAGAGACTTTTGCTTTGGAATGTACACACATTCTATGATCACCCTCTGAAAATTGAATAAGGATAATCCTACTACAAGAGAAATTATTCAATTAATAATCTCTCATAATATTGCCCACACTCCAGCGCAGCTCAAGCGCAATCGCTGCTTACTGCGCAGTTAGCAGAGTGCGAATGATTAGAATGATTAGAATAGCAGCTTGAAGGGTTCAGAGTATCTCCTAGTCGAGCAGTCTCGACTGAAGCTTTCCTACTTGTTCTGCGTGTGAGTTTCTTGTGTAAGCAGAAAGACGTGAAAAATTATTGTGAAATATCAACTCTCCAATGGGTAGTCGAGCAGTCTCGACTAGAGGTTTCTTACTTGTTTTATAAAGCCAATGACATAAGTCGTCAGTGCTACTTTGCTTACTTCAAACTAGTTTTAATTTTATTTCAACTATACATTCTATCCTTTTTCAACTCTTAAAGACGTTAATTTAAAAATATTTATTAGACTAAATTATATATAATAATATAATAATTTTATTTTATATATACCAGGGACCGTAACGATTATAATTTTTATAGCAAAAAATTAAAAAATATTTATTATTTTTTGATAAATTAAAAAAAATTATATATAATTATTAAGATTGATTTTTTTGATAAAAATCAAAAATAATTATTACAGAACAATTTTTATATAAAAATCAAATCATAACTCTTATCTTTGATTTTTATAATAAAAATCAAAAATAAGAATTATGATTTGATTTTTATTATAAAAATTGAAAATAAAAATTGAATTGAAATATCTCTTGAACTAAAAGAGCTAGATCATATATTTTTATATATATATGATCTACGCATTAATACCTTTCATTTGATGTATAATACGTATGTAAATATGTACATATATATGTAGATATACATATGTATTTAATTATATGCTTGGGCGCTTGCATAGTGCACTCGCCCTGTGCACTTGCCAGCACCTAGTCAGCAGGTCAAGTGAGGGGGAGACACATACAAATATAGCATAATCACTGTACATATATATGTTTATGTGTATATAGATGTATTATTGTCACATTTCCCAAATTAATGATAAAGTCTATTGCAAGCAACATTCATAGTGAGGATCTAGCCAAAAGCTTAGAGAAGCGTGAGGAAATATTCACAACAAATGAAGTCATTCTCTCTTCAATTTATTTGGATCCCAGAAGTCGGCGGATTCTTCTGAAGAATCCTCTTCAGCTGGCGGCAACCAAAAATCATTTGGTAGGATTGATGCGCCAAATACTTGCCTTAAATAAAAAGGTGAGCCTAATAGATAGGACGATGGGCTTGAATTGATAATCCGCCATGCAAATAATTATAGAAAAATAATGAGTTATGTTATCACTGCAATATTTTGGTCACTTAAAGCCTAGTATATTTGCTCTCTCTAAAAAATATAATGGGTACCGTTACCACTCTCAGCACGCAGTAATAAGCGGTTAAAGTTTTTGCAATGCGTTGTCAAAATACTTTTGTCCTCCATTGTATGTATGTACATATATACAGTGATTATGCTATATTTGTATGTGTCTCCCCCTCACTTTACCTGCTGACTAGGTGCTGGCAAGTACACAGGGCGAGTGCACTGGACAAGCGCCCAAGCATATAATTAAATACATATGTATATCTACATATATATGCACATATTTACATACGTATTATACATCAAATTAAAGGTATTAATGCGTAGATCATATATATATAAAAATATATGATCTAGCTCTTTTAGTTCAAGAGATATTTCAATTCAATTTTTATTTTCAATTTTTATAATAAAAATCAAATCATAATTCTTATTTTTGATTTTTATTATAAAAATCAAAGATAAGAGTTATGATTTGATTTTTATATAAAAATTGTTCTGTAATAATTATTTTTTATTTTTATCATAAAAATCAATTTTAATAATTAAATATAATTTTTTAATAAAAAATTACAAATAAAAGTTTATCCTTTTTTTGAATTTGCCATAACAGAAATCCTTATGTGTGATTTCCTCTCTCTTCTTGGGAGTTCTTTTGACCCTCAATTTTTTTAAATGCGTAACTCTTATTTGCGGTCCCTGATATATACATTAACTAATCAGTTAAAATTCTTTATGTAGACACAAACTACAAATGTTACATCAGCAACAAATTTAGTATCCCCGATGCTGAGTCTGGAAATTGGAGGACTTGTGACAAATTTGCACAAATCTTTACTGCAGGACACGTCGCCACCATCGTCCATATGTACATCAATAAACAACGGCTGTATGAATAGTTCGCTTATCAGCTCAGCTGACTTTACGAATCTCAACTTTTTACAATCGATCCATAGTTTGGAAACAAATAATACGACTTCAACAAGAGATCACATGTCCACAATGACAACGCTATTGAATGACGTAGGCTACAATCTGAGCGATATGATTAGGGATCGCAAAGTTCTCGAATCACTTAGCATGTCCGGTGATGGCACACTAATTAAGGATTCACATATTGGCCAAATTGATGATATTTCATTAATGCCACCAAGCAAAACAGCATCCGGTTGCAGCACCATGGATAATAGCACTGACAGTGTCTCCACGCCAAATGAAATGCATTTACTGCAACAATCACACGTCCATAACCAGGGGCACGCTGAACCTCAGTTGTGTACAACGATGGTGTTGAGTGAGGAGTTGATTGGTGATACTACATTTAATCTGGTGGATAGTCTGACTTCACGTACAACAACAGAATCTCAAAGTGAAGGGGATGCAAACGTCTTGTTTAAACGACCAATCGCGGTGCTAAACGAAACACAGCTGCTTGCGGGGCGACAGGTGAACAGTACTTTTACCGAAGGGTGCCATACGCCCGAAGCAGCTCGTTGCGATACACCTGAAAATATTGAGACGAAATTGTCCTTAATTCAGATGCAATCTACGCCACTGACGACTTTAAACAGCCGTTGTCCATACAACTATAACAACAACAATAAAAATAATTATAATAATAACAACAATAAGGTGCCTATCTACACGCCGACACAGACAAGTCACGAAGAAATAGTAAACATATCTCCCATTGTGAGCAGTATAACGCCCCACAAAAGCTACAGCTGCCGACAAGAGTTAAATCATACCTATGAACCACCAACGGAAACATTAAAGAATCTTCAAATTAGAGGGGCGCCTGAGTGTTTTGATGGCCAAAAAGTTGTGCATGATACAATGCACTTGCTTGAACAGATTGAACAACCAGCCACAGATGCAACATACGACAAGTCTGATGAATATTTGCAGATGCAGTGCGTCCTAGATTTAGCCGAGGCAGAAGTAGAGCTGCTTGCTCATCAGGGTGATGAAGAGCAGTTTGAGCATATGCTCGCTGAGCTTGGCAGAGTAAATACACTCAATGCGGAGCAGATAAAAATGCAAAAGTCATTGGATAGTATTAAGCGTCGCTTTCAGAAAGATGAGCATCCTTCTCGATCTGAGCAGCAACCACAGGTGGATTTGGCGCATGACACGCCGCCTTCGTCGAAGTCGCATTTAATAAATAGTCTAAATCAAAGTATGAGCCAATCATCTAATAGTAGTGAACGTTTACTTAGCCGACGTAGTCGCCTCTATGACGATGTTAAGTTGACTGCAATGCACGACAATGTAGCCGGTACCGCCAGTTGCAATTCAACATCTTTTTTAGTTCATCGAAGGGAAGATGAGCCATCAAATACATCGGGGACATGCATACAACTATTTGAGACTGAAAAGCACACGGGGGACATGGAAACTGAACAAAACCAGACGACCATAGACTCTGAATCACTGAACTATAAGATGGCTGAGCGCCGCACTAGAGATCGAGAACGTTTTAAAACTATTAAAATAACTAGCGAAATGCACGCTACTGACGAGAAGCTGGGATACATTGTTGTACCCTGTATTGACGATGAAGATCCCCAGTCTCAGCCATTGAGTTCAGCTAAAATAGAAGATCGACCACAATCGCCACAAAATCGACTTTCGCGGCTTGATAAAAAATCTATTGGAAACATTAATGGTTCAGAAAACAATGCCGTTGTCGGCAAAAATTACTTGACCTACAAAAAACCAAGAGACAAAAATTTGTTGATGCAAAAACAGCCCCAAACGCAACCCCCGACGCTTGCATGTGGACAGAATGCGCGATCTCAGCCACGTTCGCTATCTCGACCACGTTACATTAGTGGCTTACAAAAGCTAGGTACTGTGAGCAAAGCAACATCTGCTGGCGGTGGTCTGAATGCTGTATCATCTTCATCATCAATTTCAAGGGCAACATCGAGAGAAACAGCTCCAAAACCTGGGGATGGAGTAAAAAGTCCGATGGGCATTAAGTCAAAGTCATTTCATAACTTGTCCTCGAACATTTGCAGCTCCATGGGTGCTGGTGGTGAGGTAGTGTCACCTCGACAGAGCTTAGGTGACGCCCTGAAAATACCCAGCAACCAAGCTAGCAAGCTGTCAAGTGTGTTTCGAGCAGCACAACAGAATGAGGTATGTAGTGCAAAAATAAAATACAAAAATTATTTATTATGAGATGAGAAGTACAATAAAATGTATTCATTAGGATGAAACTTCCGTATTTAAAGTGCCCAAGTTAGTTGGTGCCTTGCGTGCGCCGAGTAATACCGGAGGCCCAATCAAGCGAGTTGTGGGACTGGCTCGACCCTCTTCCGGCTATTATAGTTTGACTATGAGAGGAGTTGGTGATCCTGAAACACCTGAGGTACATTGAAACTTCAATAAATATGTAACTTAACTTATATTATATATTACGTCGCAGAGTCTCTCTTCTGCATCTTCTCGCGGCAGTCTGTATGATAAGGATGCAAAACAAGCTGATGCGTTTGAAGCAGTAGCACTAAGCGCAGGGCTGGGGCAAGTGACATCTGGTACAAGAGGCATTCCGAAGCCGTCAGCTCTTCGGCAACCTACACAAATAAAACGCAGTGGATTACCCCGGCCTTCTAATATTTTAAGGCGTTGACCCAAACGGAATCCTAGTTTGCAAAAAACCTGCTCGAGCAAAAATAAATCCAGTATAGAACTTTGTTTATATGAAGAAATTCTTATTATTTACCAGTTTTGATTCTCCTGTCGTACTGATAATTGCTTTATAAATTTTGCATTCATTAATTAGATTTCCATTTAGTTAAAATTATAAAATTAATTAATTATATTTTCCATTTAGATAAAATTATAAAAAAATAACGAGCACCGAAATTGTAAACACACTATGCCTTAAACGAGAAACGGAGTAAATAAACTCCATATTAATTATAGTACTGAAACGAAAAAAATGTATATTTTTCTAAAAAATGCAAACAGTTTAGATATACATATGTATATATTATCTGTTGTCATTTAAAGCTGAAAATAATAAAATCGAATATATATCTTATATATAAAATTCTCGTGTCACGGTGTTTGTTGCGGAAGTTTTGTGTACAGGTCGGCTAGGTCTGAGAATCGGCCAACATCTATTTTTCATGGCCCTAAGTTTAAAGGCTGAGCCACTATCCGTTTTTAGACTCATTCACGAAAGTGAAGTGAGTATATTGGTTTTGAGCAATGTACGTCTTGCTGTCCGTCCGTCTGTCCGTATGAACGCAATCTATTTCGGCGCTATTGAAGCTAGAGACAAATGAAATTTGGAACACATACTCGTGTATATCTCAGATTTATAAAATGTTAAAAATTTCGCGATCCGCCCACTAAGGGCGTGGCAAATCGGACAATGCATTTTCCGATATACCAGAAATCATGTTTGTTGAAGAGCCAGAAAGCTGAAATTTGGTATGTAGGTCCGCGTCGATCACCCTAGATCACGAGCTATGGCGGATATATCTCCGCCCATTGGGGGCGTAGCAAATCGGATAAAACTGTATCGTCTAAAGTTATAAACCTAGAATGCTAAAATTTTTGACGTAAGCTGATGTTTTTATTCTACAAAGATGGGTGAAAAAATTATATATCTACGCTTACTATAGGCGTGGCAAATTGGACCTAAAGATATAGTGATTTTTCGAATTCTTCTATATTTTAGGCCCTATTGATGATACAGATCTGATATTTGTTATATATATGCGGGTTGACCACCCATGTCCAACGAGCTATTATAGATATATGTCCGCCCATAGGGGGCATGGCAAACCGCAAAAGTTTATATCTCCTACAGTTTAAGAGCTAAAAGCTCTATCAAATTTAGATAGTTTAGTTACTGGTAGCCCCTTTATCGATGCCCCAAAATAATAAATAAAAAATATTTAAGCCTCTTTAGGGGCGTGGAATATCAAAAAATACCCTGTCATTTTCCCAGATTTTAGGCGTAATAATTCAAATTTTGCATTTAGGTTACCGGTTGCTCGTTCTAAGAACTGGCCAAAAATGAGGTCTACGGCCTCTAGGGGCGTGGCAATCGGCATTTATAGTGCCCATATTGCGGCATTTATATGCATCAGCCATCTCTTTATGTATTTGTACATATAAATAAGCTTAATAGATAGTCATAATACGGAATGAAACATTTTTATGAAATTTAAAAAATATAAAAGAAGCTAAAATAACAAAAATTTGCAATTTACAAAAACGAGTTTTCCACGGGATTTGAACTCGCACCCAAGTCAAATAGCATGTTTGTCAAAAGAGCTAAAATAAAGATCGCCTGCGCTTCTGCCTACAGCATCACCGCGTCGACTTGAACAACAATAGTTTAAACGAAATTGTTATGACGCCATTTAGCAAAGAAAAGCCAGTGTGGCGGCTGGAAATTCAAAAACAATGCAATGAAAAAAAATCAATCGCAACTGAGATTCTTAGAATATGCTAGAGCACGCATTTATGTGTACATACATACACACATTCAAATGAGCGCGTGTATAAGGCTGGAATGCTTGATGCTATGCGTGCAAACTTACATATATATACATATACAGTGACGAACTAAATTATTGGCACAGCAAGCTTTTTAAACTTTAAAGCAATTTTGTAATTGTTTTTTTTAACGTTTTTTTAGTGAAACAAAAAATTTACTAAATAGAATTGGGTATTTATTAAATTATACAGTAAAAATATTGCGAAAAACTTCAACGTACTATTTTTAAAAATTCAAGAACCAAAAATAAACCTCGATTTTGCTGAACAAAATTATTGGCACACTAAAAACAAAAAATTAAAAAACATTAAAATGTTATGAAAAAAATTTGATAATAACTATAATTAACATTGGGTATGTATCCTTTAAACTTTTATAATGGCTAATAATTGGTTTGGCATCGAAATTATTTTTGAGTGACGTCTTCACTAATTTTTTGCCATTCCTCAATAAGACCTTGTTTTAGGTCGGCTTGTTTTGTTATTACCCGATTTGAGATGCGCCTATCCAATTCATTCCACAAGCGTTCAATTCTATATAGGTCTGGAGATAGTGGTGAGTGCGGTAACACATGGGCGGTAGCCATATTTTGACGATATGGGCAGAATGCTTGTGGTCATTGTCATGTTGAAATGTGAACGAGCTTGGTAGTTATAGCTTTTCAGAATCTTTTTAAGGGTTATCACTCAAAATATTTAGATACAAATGTTTGTCCATTATACCGTCTACAAATACCAACTCGGGCACACCTGCAGGCTGCAGCAGATATGCAACCCCAGACCATCACCCCACAACCACCATGCTTAACGCTTGGCGTAATATTGTTTTTGTGAAACGAAGTATTTAGCATTCTTTAAGCAGTTTAACGCCCATCCGATCGAAATATATTGAAGAAGACTTGACTTCAATAATCAGATGGCTTGCTAAAATTTTTCTTAGCGTAGTCCAAACGCTTCTTTTTATAAGCACCTTTGATGCACGGTTTTCGTCTAGCCACACGTACTTTGTATTTGGCCTTGTGCAGTACTCTTCGTATCGAAATCGGGTGCATATCCTTCCCCATTTCTTTTGTAACTTCAGCAGCAATCTGTGTAGATGGTATTTTAAGATTCACATGCACCTTTCGAACGATTTTCCAGCATTCATGGCTGTTCAACAACTTAAGGCGACCTGTATGTTTATGAACTTAGCAGATTGCGGGCTCCCTTGGAGCGCTGCACATAGCTTCGAATAGGAAATCGGTTTCTTTCTATTATCTCTCTAGTTTATGCATAAAATTTGCCTTGATCATCCAAATGCAGGATCATTTTCCTCTGAGCTATCGATGTCTCTTTTAGCTTAGGTGACATTATTAAGAAAAGTAATAAAATATGCCCAATTCTTACAAAATTTTCTATATTTAAATTCTGTTAAAATTATGTATGTAAGCACCGCTGTGTCTATTTCTTTGTCTAACATTATTCTCATGTTAAGTTCTGTTAATTGTAACGGAGATTCATTCGTGTATGCTTTAAGTTCATTTTCGGCTGCCTGCGCTGCAGCATATATTCATTTGTATGTTTTAGTCTCTAATAAACCTCTGAATCGAATAGGTTATGGGCCCAGGCAGCGGAAAGTGAAAGCTGTGCTGGTGATTGAAAAAATCAATTACGAGACTCGATTTATTAGTTAAAGCGTGTGCCAAACTAATGTGTGCAAAATGAGTTCAATGTTTGCAATTGAGAAACTAGATAGTGAAAACTATAGTTCGTGGTCAGTGCAGATGAAAAGTCTATTAATTCACTCTGACTTGTGGTCGGTGACATGTGGACGGTTATTGAAAAATGAGAACGATACCGTGGAACAGAAAGCGTCGTTTGATAGCAAAGATGAGAAGGCTCTAGCTAGCATTTTGTTATCTGTAAAAGCGTCGGAAATAAACTATATAAAGCACTGTGGAACCGCGAGAGAAGCGTGGACAAAGTTATCCGAGGTTTATATGCCGTCGGGACCCGCGCGTAAAGTACAGTTGTTCAAGCAACTGTTGTATATGAAAATGTCAGCTACAGACAGTGTTCGTGAGCATTTGGCTAATTTTTCTAATGTCGTAGAAAAATTAAGAGAGATACAAGTGCAGGTGGCTGATGAAATGCTTGTAATAATATTACTAGCAAGTTTACATGAAGGGTTGGACAATTTCGTAGTCGCTATCGAGACACGAGACGCATTGCCTACATTTAACGCTCTAAAAATCAAATTGATGGAAGAAGGAGAGAGGCGTAACGTAAGCGACGAGGGTGAAAAAAGTGAGAATACAATTTTTTCGTCGCGTCCAACAAACGGTAAACGAAACAAGACAAAGAAAGACCCGAAAGACATGAAGTGTTGGCTTTGCGGGCAAAACGGGCATTTCGCGGCGAAGTGCAGTTTAAAAGAGAAAAAGGGTGTTAAACACAACGAGAGCGAAAAAGCGATCGAAAAGAGCGGTAAAAAGGCTTTTTCGGTGTTCTCTTTTTCTGGAAAAATCCAGTTGACAAAAACTGTCTGGTGCGTGGACAGTGCTGCTACAGCTCATTTGTGCGCGGACAAATCAATGTTTATACATATGCGTGAGCACAAAGAGAAAATAAAACTAGCAGGCGATAATTACATAGAAACCGAGTGTTGCGGGACAGTGTTGCTTAAGTGGAGAAATAATACGATCGAATTGCGCGACGTTTTATATGCAAGAGACTTACAATGCAACTTTATATCTGTGTCAAAGGCAACTGAAAAGGGGTTAAAAGTAATTTTTGTGAAAAACAAAGTGTTTGTTAAAGACAGTAACAATGAAAACTGGCTAGTTGCAGAAAAACATAATGATTTGTTTTTGTTTGAAAGTAGCATGAACACAGTAGTTGCAGCTAATGTAAATGCAAATGTGAATCAATTGGTGAAATGGCATGATCGGTTCGGGCATCTGAATTTTGATAGCCTAAATAAAATGATCAAACAGGGCATGGTTCATGGACTTCCGGCTAGTGTGTGTAATACAAATGACTTTGTGTGCGAAACGTGTGCAAAAAGTAAGATTTGCGTGAAAAGGTTTCCCAAAGTATCAGAAAATCGCTCAAAAGAATTACTAGCGTTAGTTCATACAGACATATGTGGACCCATGCGTACGGCATCACAAGGTGGAGCGCGCTATTTTGCAACGTTTATTGACGATAAATCGCGCTATATGTCAGTGTACATGTTAAAGAATAAAAGTGATGTATTTGAGAAATTCAAAGACTTTAAGAAGTTGGCTGAAAATCAGACTGGCAAACGCATAAAGG